CTATGTGAAACTTGTTCTGGTGCTGTTTGGACAACTGTTTCAGATGTTTCTGTTGTGTTTTGAGAAGAAGAAGAACTCAAATTGTTGGACAATTTGTCTTGAATTGTAGAACTATGTGAAACTTGTTCTGGTGCTGTTTGGACAACTGTTTCAGATGTTTCTGTTGTGTTTTGAGAAGAAGAAGAACTCAAATTGTTGGACAATTTGTCTTGAATTGTAGAACTATGTGAAACTTGTTCTGGTGCTGTTTGGACAACTGTTTCAGATGTTTCTGTTGTGTTTTGAGAAGAAGAAGAACTCAAATTGTTGGACAATTTGTCTTGAATTGTAGAACTATGTGAAACTTGTTCTGGTGCTGTTTGGACAACTGTTTCAGATGTTTCTGTTGTGTTTTGAGAAGAAGAAGAACTCAAATTGTTGGACAATTTGTCTTGAATTGTAGAACTATGTGAAACTTGTTCTGGTGCTGTTTGGACAACTGTTTCAGATGTTTCTGTTGTGTTTTGAGAAGAAGAAGAACTCAAATTGTTGGACAATTTGTCTTGAATTGTAGAACTATGTGAAACTTGTTCTGGTGCTGTTTGGACAACTGTTTCAGATGTTTCTGTTGTGTTTTGAGAAGAAGAAGAACTCAAATTGTTGGACAATTTGTCTTGAATTGTAGAACTATGTGAAACTTGTTCTGGTGCTGTTTGGACAACTGTTTCAGATGTTTCTGTTGTGTTTTGAGAAGAAGAAGAACTCAAATTGTTGGACAATTTGTCTTGAATTGTAGAACTATGTGAAACTTGTTCTGGTGCTGTTTGGACAACTGTTTCAGATGTTTCTGTTGTGTTTTGAGAAGAAGAAGAACTCAAATTGTTGGACAATTTGTCTTGAATTGTAGAACTATGTGAAACTTGTTCTGGTGCTGTTTGGACAACTGTTTCAGATGTTTCTGTTGTGTTTTGAGAAGAAGAAGAACTCAAATTGTTGGACAATTTGTCTTGAATTGTAGAACTATGTGAAACTTGTTCTGGTGCTGTTTGGACAACTGTTTCAGATGTTTCTGTTGTGTTTTGAGAAGAAGAAGAACTCAAATTGTTGGACAATTTGTCTTGAATTGTAGAACTATGTGAAACTTGTTCTGGTGCTGTTTGGACAACTGTTTCAGATGTTTCTGTTGTGTTTTGAGAAGAAGAAGAACTCAAATTGTTGGACAATTTGTCTTGAATTGTAGAACTATGTGAAACTTGTTCTGGTGCTGTTTGGACAACTGTTTCAGATGTTTCTGTTGTGTTTTGAGAAGAAGAAGAACTCAAATTGTTGGACAATTTGTCTTGAATTGTAGAACTATGTGAAACTTGTTCTGGTGCTGTTTGGACAACTGTTTCAGATGTTTCTGTTGTGTTTTGAGAAGAAGAAGAACTCAAATTGTTGGACAATTTGTCTTGAATTGTAGAACTATGTGAAACTTGTTCTGGTGCTGTTTGGACAACTGTTTCAGATGTTTCTGTTGTGTTTTGAGAAGAAGAAGAACTCAAATTGTTGGACAATTTGTCTTGAATTGTAGAACTATGTGAAACTTGTTCTGGTGCTGTTTGGACAACTGTTTCAGATGTTTCTGTTGTGTTTTGAGAAGAAGAAGAACTCAAATTGTTGGACAATTTGTCTTGAATTGTAGAACTATGTGAAACTTGTTCTGGTGCTGTTTGGACAACTGTTTCAGATGTTTCTGTTGTGTTTTGAGAAGAAGAAGAACTCAAATTGTTGGACAATTTGTCTTGAATTGTAGAACTATGTGAAACTTGTTCTGGTGCTGTTTGGACAACTGTTTCAGATGTTTCTGTTGTGTTTTGAGAAGAAGAAGAACTCAAATTGTTGGACAATTTGTCTTGAATTGTAGAACTATGTGAAACTTGTTCTGGTGCTTTTGGACAACTGTTTCAGATGTTTCTGTTGTGTTTTGAGAAGAAGAAGAACTCAAATTGTTGGACAATTTGTCTTGAATTGTAGAACTATGTGAAACTTGTTCTGGTGCTGTTTGGACAACTGTTTCAGATGTTTCTGTTGTGTTTTGAGAAGAAGAAGAACTCAAATTGTTGGACAATTTGTCTTGAATTGTAGAACTATGTGAAACTTGTTCTGGTGCTGTTTGGACAACTGTTTCAGATGTTTCTGTTGTGTTTTGAGAAGAAGAAGAACTCAAATTGTTGGACAATTTGTCTTGAATTGTAGAACTATGTGAAACTTGTTCTGGTGCTGTTTGGACAACTGTTTCAGATGTTTCTGTTGTGTTTTGAGAAGAAGAAGAACTCAAATTGTTGGACAATTTGTCTTGAATTGTAGAACTATGTGAAACTTGTTCTGGTGCTGTTTGGACAACTGTTTCAGATGTTTCTGTTGTGTTTTGAGAAGAAGAAGAACTCAAATTGTTGGACAATTTGTCTTGAATTGTGTAGAACTATGTGAAACTTGTTCTGGTGCTGTTTGGACAACTGTTTCAGATGTTTCTGTTGTGTTTTGAGAAGAAGAAGAACTCAAATTGTTGGACAATTTGTCTTGAATTGTAGAACTATGTGAAACTTGTTCTGGTGCTGTTTGGACAACTGTTTCAGATGTTTCTGTTGTGTTTTGAGAAGAAGAAGAACTCAAATTGTTGGACAATTTGTCTTGAATTGTAGAACTATGTGAAACTTGTTCTGGTGCTGTTTGGACAACTGTTTCAGATGTTTCTGTTGTGTTTTGAGAAGAAGAAGAACTCAAATTGTTGGACAATTTGTCTTGAATTGTAGAACTATGTGAAACTTGTTCTGGTGCTGTTTGGACAACTGTTTCAGATGTTTCTGTTGTGTTTTGAGAAGAAGAAGAACTCAAATTGTTGGACAATTTGTCTTGAATTGTAGAACTATGTGAAACTTGTTCTGGTGCTGTTTGGACAACTGTTTCAGATGTTTCTGTTGTGTTTTGAGAAGAAGAAGAACTCAAATTGTTGGACAATTTGTCTTGAATTGTAGAACTATGTGAAACTTGTTCTGGTGCTGTTTGGACAACTGTTTCAGATGTTTCTGTTGTGTTTTGAGAAGAAGAAGAACTCAAATTGTTGGACAATTTGTCTTGAATTGTAGAACTATGTGAAACTTGTTCTGGTGCTGTTTGGACAACTGTTTCAGATGTTTCTGTTGTGTTTTGAGAAGAAGAAGAACTCAAATTGTTGGACAATTTGTCTTGAATTGTAGAACTATGTGAAACTTGTTCTGGTGCTGTTTGGACAACTGTTTCAGATGTTTCTGTTGTGTTTTGAGAAGAAGAAGAACTCAAATTGTTGGACAATTTGTCTTGAATTGTAGAACTATGTGAAACTTGTTCTGGTGCTGTTTGGACAACTGTTTCAGATGTTTCTGTTGTGTTTTGAGAAGAAGAAGAACTCAAATTGTTGGACAATTTGTCTTGAATTGTAGAACTATGTGAAACTTGTTCTGGTGCTGTTTGGACAACTGTTTCAGATGTTTCTGTTGTGTTTTGAGAAGAAGAAGAACTCAAATTGTTGGACAATTTGTCTTGAATTGTAGAACTATGTGAAACTTGTTCTGGTGCTGTTTGGACAACTGTTTCAGATGTTTCTGTTGTGTTTTGAGAAGAAGAAGAACTCAAATTGTTGGACAATTTGTCTTGAATTGTAGAACTATGTGAAACTTGTTCTGGTGCTGTTTGGACAACTGTTTCAGATGTTTCTGTTGTGTTTTGAGAAGAAGAAGAACTCAAATTGTTGGACAATTTGTCTTGAATTGTAGAACTATGTGAAACTTGTTCTGGTGCTGTTTGGACAACTGTTTCAGATGTTTCTGTTGTGTTTTGAGAAGAAGAAGAACTCAAATTGTTGGACAATTTGTCTTGAATTGTAGAACTATGTGAAACTTGTTCTGGTGCTGTTTGGACAACTGTTTCAGATGTTTCTGTTGTGTTTTGAGAAGAAGAAGAACTCAAATTGTTGGACAATTTGTCTTGAATTGTAGAACTATGTGAAACTTGTTCTGGTGCTGTTTGGACAACTGTTTCAGATGTTTCTGTTGTGTTTTGAGAAGAAGAAGAACTCAAATTGTTGGACAATTTGTCTTGAATTGTAGAACTATGTGAAACTTGTTCTGGTGCTGTTTGGACAAACTTGTTTTCAGATGTTTCTGTTGTGGTTTTGAGGGAGAAAAGAAACTCAAATTTGTTGGACCACAATTTGTTCTTGAATTGTTAGACTATGTGAAACTGTTTCTGGTGCTGTTTGGACAACTGTTTCAGATGTTTCTGTTGTGTTTTGGAAGAAGAAAGAACTCAAATTGTTGGAAATTTGTCTGAATTGTAGAACTATGTGAAACTTGTTCTGGTGCTGTTTGGACATGTTTTCAGATGTTTCTGTTGTGTTTTGGAGAAGAAGAAGAACTCAAATTGTTGGACAATTTGTCTGAATTGTAGAACTATGTGAAACTTGTTCTGGTGCTGTTTGGACAACTGTTTCAGATGTTTCTGTTGTGTTTTGAGAAGAAGAGAACTCAAATTGTTGGACAATTTGTCTGAATGTTAGAACTATGTGAAACTTGTTCTGGTGCTGTTTGGACAACTGTTTCAGATGTTTCTGTTGTGTTTTGAGAAGAAGAAGAACTCAAATTGTTGGACAATTTGTCTTGAATTGTAGAACTATGTAAACTTGTTCTGGTGCTGTTTGGACACTGTTTCAGATGTTTCTGTTGTGTTTTGAGAAGAAGAAGAACTCAAATTGTTGGACAATTTGTCTTGAATTGTAGAACTATGTGAAACTTGTTCTGGTGCTGTTGGACAACTGTTTCAGATGTTTCTGTTGTGTTTTGAAGAAGAAGAAACTCAAATTGTTGGACAATTTGTCTTGAAATTGTAGAACTATGTGAAACTTGTTCTGGTGCTGTTTGGACAACTGTTTCAGATAGTTTCTGTTGTGTTTTGAGAAGAAGGAAGAACTCAAATTGTTGGACAATTTGTCTTGAATTGTAGAACTATGTGAAACTTGTTTCTGGTGCTGTTTGGACAACTGTTTCAGATGTTTCTGTTGTGTTTTGAGAAGAAGAAGAACTCAAATTGTTGGACAATTTGTCTTGAATTGTAGAACTATGTGAAACTTGTTCTGGTGCTGTTTGGACAACTGTTTCAGATGTTTCTGTTGTGTTTTGAGAAGAAGAAGAACTCAAATTGTTGGACAATTTGTCTTGAATTGTAGAACTATGTGAAACTTGTTCTGGTGCTGTTTGGACAACTGTTTCAGATGTTTCTGTGTGTTTTGAGAAGAAAGAAGAACTCAAATTGTTGGACAATTTGTCTTGAATTGTAGAACTATGTGAAACTTGTTCTGGTGCTGTTTGGACAACTGTTTCAGATTTTCTGTTGTGTTTTGAGAAGAAGAAGAACTCAAATTGTTGAAAATTTGTCTGAATTGTAGAACTATGTGAAACTTGTTCTGGTGCTGTTTGGACAACTGTTTCAGATGTTTCTGTTGTGTTTTGAGAAGAAGAAGAACTCAATTGTTGGACAATTTGTCTTGAATTGTAGAACTATGTGAAACTTTCTGGTGCTGTTTGGACAACTGTTTCAGATGTTTCTGTTGTGTTTTGAGAGAGAAGAACTCAAATTGTTGGACAATTTGTCTTGAATTGTAGAACTATGTGAAACTTGTTTCTGGTGCTGTTTGGACAACTGTTTCAGATGTTTCTGTTGTGTTTTGAGAAGAAGAAGAACTCAAATTGTTGGACAATTTGTCTTGAATTGTAGAACTATGTGAAACTTGTTCTGGTGCTGTTTGGACAAACTGTTTCAGATGTTTCTGTTGTGTTTTGAGAAGAAGAAGACTCAAATTGTTGGACAATTTGTCTTGAATTGTAGAACTATGTGAAACTTGTTCTGGTGCTGTTTGGACAACTGTTTCAGATGTTTCTGTGTGTTTTGAGAAAGAAGAAGAACTCAAATTGTTGGACAATTTGTCTTGAATTGTAGAACTATGTGAAACTTGTTCTGGTGCTGTTTGGACAACTGTTTCAGATGTTTCTTGTTGTGTTTTGAGAAGAAAGAAGAACTCAAATTGTTGGACAATTTGTCTTGAATTGTAGAACTATGTGAAACTTGTTCTGGTGCTGTTTGGACAACTGTTTCAGATGTTTCTGTGTGTTTTGAGAAGAAGAAGAACTCAAATTGTTGGACAATTTGTCTTGAATTGTAGAACTATGTGAAACTTGTTTCGGTGCTGTTTGGACAACTGTTTCAGATGTTTCTGTTGTGTTTTGAGAAGAAGAAGAACTCAAATTGTTTGGACAATTGTCTTGAATTGTAGAACTATGTGAAACTTGTTCTGGTGCTGTTGGACAACTGTTTCAGATGTTTCTGTTGTGTTTTGAGAAGAAGAAGAACTCAAATTGTTGGACAATTTGTCTTGAATTGGAGAACTATGTGAAAACTTGTTCTGGTGCTGTTTGGACAACTGTTTCAGATGTTTCTGTTGTGTTTTGAGAAGAAGAAGAACTCAAATTGTTGGACAATTTGTCTTGAATTGTAGAACTATGTGAAACTTGTTCTGGTGCTGTTTGGCAACTGTTTCAGATGTTTCTGTTGTGTTTTGAGAAAAAGAAGAACTCAAATTGTTGGACAATTTGTCTTGAATTGTAGAACTATGTGAAACTTGTTCTGGTGCTGTTTGGACAACTGTTTCAGATGTTTCTGTTGTGTTTTGAGAAGAAGAAGAACTCAAATTGTTGACAATTTGTCTTGAATTGTAGAAACTATGTGAAACTTGTTCTGGTGCTGTTTGGACAACTGTTTCAGATGTTTCTGTTGTGTTTTGAGAAGAAGAAGAACTCAAATTGTTGGACAATTTGTCTTGAATTGTAAAACTATGTGAAACTTGTTCTGGTGCTGTTTGGACAACTGTTTCAGATGTTTCTGTTGTGTTTTGAGAAGAAGAAGAACTCAAATTGTTGGACAATTGTCTTGAATTGTAAAACTATGTGAAACTTGTTCTGGTGCTGTTTGGACAACTGTTTCAGATGTTTCTGTTGTGTTTTGAGAAGAAGAAGAACTCAAATTGTTGGACAATTTGTCTTGAATTGTAGAACTATGTGAAACTTGTTCTGGTGCTGTTTGGACAACTGTTTCAGATGTTTCTGTTGTGTTTTGAGAAGAAGAAGAACTCAAATTTGTTGGACAATTTGTCTTGAATTGTAGAACTATGTGAAACTTGTTCTGGTGCTGTTTGGACAACTGTTTCAGATGTTTCTGTTGTGTTTTGAGAAGAAGAAGAACTCAAATTGTTGGACAATTTGTCTTGAATTGTAAAACTATGTGAAACTTGTTCTGGTGCTGTTTGGACAACTGTTTCAGATGTTTCTGTTGTGTTTTGAGAAGAAGAAGAACTCAAATTGTTGGACAATTTGTCTTGAATTGTAAAACTATGTGAAACTTGTTCTGGTGCTGTTTGGACAACTGTTTCAGATGTTTCTTGTTGTGTTTTGAGAAAGAAGAACTCAATTGTTGGACATTTGTCTTGAATTGTAAAACTATGTGAAACTTGTTCTGGTGCTGTTTGGACAACTGTTTCAGATGTTTCTGTTGTGTTTTGAGAAGAAGAAGAACTCAAATTGTGGACAATTTGTCTTGAATTGTAAAACTATGTGAAACTTGTTCTGGTGCTGTTTGGACAACTGTTTCAGATGTTTCTGTTGTGTTTTGAGAAGAAGAAGAACTCAAATTGTTGGACAATTTGTCTTGAATTGTAGAACTATGTGAAACTTGTTCTGGTGCTGTTTGGACAACTGTTTCAGATGTTTTCTGTTGTGTTTTGAGAAGAAGAAGAACTTCAAATTGTTGGACAATTTGTCTTGAATTGTAGAACTATGTGAAACTTGTTCTGGTGCTGTTTGGACAACTGTTTCAGATGTTTCTGTTGTGTTTTGAGAAGAAGAGAACTCAAATTGTTGGACAATTTGTCTTGAATTGTAGAACTATGTGAAACTTGTTTCTGGTGCTGTTGGACAACTGTTTCAGATGTTCCTGTTGTGTTTTGAGAAGAAGAAGAACTCAAATTGTTGGACAATTTGTCTTGAATTGTAGAACTATGTGAAACTTGTTCTGGTGCTGTTTGGACAACTGTTTCAGATGTTTCTGTTGTGTTTTGAGAAGAAGAAAGACTCAAATTGTTGGACAATTTGTCTTGAATTGTAGAACTATGTGAAACTTGTTCTGGTGCTGTTTGGACAACTGTTTCAGATGTTTCTGTGTGTTTTTGAGAAGAAGAAGAACTAATTGTTGGACAATTTGTCTTGAATTGTAGAACTATGTGAAACTTGTTCTGGTGCTGTTTGGACAACTGTTTCAGATGTTTCTGTTGTGTTTTGAGAAGAAAAGAACTCAAATTGTTGGACAATTTGTCTTGAATTGTAGAACTATGTGAAACTTGTTCTGGTGTCTGTTTGGACAACTGTTTCAGATGTTTCTGTTGTGTTTTGAGAAGAAGAAGAACTCAAATTGTTGGACAATTTGTCTTGAATTGTAGAACTATGTGAAACTTGTTCTGGTGCTGTTTGGACAACTGTTTCAGATGTTTCTGTTGTGTTTTGAGAAGAAGAAGAACTCAAATTGTTGGACCATTTGTCTTGAATTGGTAGAACTATGTGAAACTTGTTCTGGTGCTGTTTGGACAACTGTTTCAGATGTTTCTGTTGTGTTTTGAGAAGAAGAAAGAACTCAAATTGTTGGACAATTTGTCTTGAATTGTAGAACTATGTGAAACTTGTTCTGGTGCTGTTTGGACAACTGTTTCAGATGTTTCTGTTTGTGTTTTGAGAAGAAGAAGAACTCAAATTGTTGGACAATTTGTCTTGAATTGTAGAATATGTGAAACTTGTTCTGGTGCTGTTTGGACAACTGTTTCAGATGTTTCTGTTGTGTTTTGAGAAGAAGAAGAACTCAAATTGTTGGACAATTTGTCTTGAATTGTAGAAACTATGTGAAACTTGTTCTGGTGCTGTTTGGCACACTGTTTCAGATGTTTCTGTTGTGTTTTGAGAAGAAGAAGAACTCAAATTGTTGGACAATTTGTCTTGAATTGTTAGAACTATGTGAAACTTGTTCTGGTGCTGTTTGACAACTGTTCAGATGTTTCTGTTGTGTTTTGAGAAGAAGAAGAACTCAAATTGTTGGACAATTTGTCTTGAATTGTAGAACTATGTGAACTTTGTTCTGGTGGCTGTTTGGGACAACTGTTTCAGATGTTTTCTGTTGTGTTTTGGAGAAGAAGAAGAACTCAATTGTTGGACAATTTGTCTTGAATTGTAGAACTATGTGAAACTTGTTCTGGTGCTGTTTGGACAACTGTTTTTCAGATGTTTCTGTTGTGTTTTGAGAAGAAGAAGAACTCAAATTGTTGGACCAATTTGTCTTGAATTGTAGAACTATGTGAAAACTTGTTCTGGTGCTGTTGGACAACTGTTTCAGATGTTTCTGTTGTGTTTTGAGAAGAAGAAGAACTCAAATTGTTGGACAATTTGTCTTGAATTGTAGAACTATGTGAAACTTGTTCTGGTGCTGTTGGACAACTGTTTCAGATGTTTCTGTGTGTTTTTGAGAAAGAAGAAGAACTCAAATTGTTGACAATTGTCTTGAATTGTAGAACTATGTGAAACTTGTTCTGGTGCTGTTTGGACAACTGTTTCAGATGTTTCTGTTGTGTTTTGAGA